CTCACGATACATGGCTCCATTCATTCTTTCCTTTACACGGATCAGTGGTCCTGGTCCCTTTGCAGAAACACAGCCCCAAAGCACGATGTTTCCACCCCCATGTTTCACAGTAGGTGTTCTTTGGATGTGACTCAGCATTCTTTCTCCTCCAAACACGTCTAGTTGAGTTTTTACCAAAAAAGTTCTATTTTGGTTTCATCTGACCATATGACATTCTCCCAATCCTCTTCTGGATCATCTAAATGCTCTCTAGCAAACTTCAGATAGGCCTGGACATGTACTGGCTTAAGCAGGGGGACACGTCTGGCACTGCAGGGTTTGAGTCCCTGGCGGCGTAGTGTGTTACTGATGGTAGCCTTTGTTACTTTGGTCCCAGCTCTCTGCAGGTCATTGACTAGGTCCCCCCGTGTGGTTCTGGGATCTTTGCTCACCGTTCTTGTGATCACTTTGACCCCACGGGGTGAGATCTTGCGTGGAGCCCCAGATCGAGGGAGATTATCAGTGGTCTTGTATGTCTTCCATTTTCTAATAATTGCTCCCACAGTTGATTTCTTCACACCAAGCTGCTTACCTATTGCAGATTCAGTCTTCCCAGCCTGGTGCAGGTCTACCATTTAGTTTCTGGTGTCCTTTGACAGCTCTTTGGTCTTGGCCATAGTGGAGTTTGGAGTGTGACTGTTTGAGGTTGTGGACAGGTGTCTTTTATACTGATAACGAGTTCAAACAGGTTCCATTAATACAGTTAACGAGTGGAGGACAGAGGAGGCTCTTAAAGAAGAAGTTACAGGTCTGTGAGAGCCAGAGATCTTGTTTGTTTGTAGGTGACCAAATACTTATTTTACCGAGGAGTTTACCAATTAATTCATTAAAAATCCTACAATGTGATTTCCTGGATTCTTTCCCCCATTCTGTCTCTCATAGTTGAAGTGTACCTAGGATGAAGATTACAGGCCTCTCATCTTTTTAAGTGGGAGAACTTGCACAATTGGTGGCTGACTAAATACTTTTTTGCCCCACTGTATCTGTAAACTACGCCCCAGAAACATAATTTCAGCCAATCAGCGTCGTCAGATCTGATGGTCATAGGGCGCCCTGTCAGCGCCCTGGCCTGTGTGTCTGTGAGTTGTTTAGACTCGTATCCATGGTGACGCTACAGTCAGTAGTTGTCGAGGATGGCTGCGTCTGCAGGTGGAGACTCCGGGTGCTAGTGGATCGCCAGAGCTGTAGATTAACATTTACATGCTTATTGTAGTTGTAAGGGCCTGTGGCACCATGGAGCGTATGTGTGGGCTGGACCCAGTGGCGTTTTTATATGTACAAAAGTGGTGGGGCACAAAAAACGTAGATGTCTATATATAAGCTTCTGCAGTGAGGTTCATGGCTGCTGAGGATCTGACTCTTCAGGTTTACTAATATTATATTTTGACCTAAATCAAAATATAATATTATTTTCAAAAGCTTTTTTTAATCTGATGCTTCAATTAATTTTAAACAGACAGTTCAACAAAAGGATACCCAAAAGATGTAATTTTATCATTTAAATATTGAATTGTTCTCTCTTAGTAAGATCCCATTTTCAATAAAATTGCGGTCTTACCTTGACTTGAAGATGAAGTCCATTTGCCTATCCTTCTGGACAAAAATCTCTATTACTTTTTTGTAAAAGTCCTCCTTATCTTCTTGTAGTTTCAAAAGTCTATCATAAATCTGATCTAATCGATATATTTATGATTCAAAAATTATAAAAGTAGGGTAGACATGTGGATATTATCCGGCTGAACAAAACGTGCATTTATCTAACAGCTACGTTTCCCACAGATCTTATTTTGAGCTATTTTCTAAAATCCTGTGGAGAAATCTCATTGCTTTTTTGTCGAGGGAAGCCATGCGCAGCTTACTTCCTGGTTTTAGGATGCGTCACTGCAGCTCTCTCGTCTCCTCTTCACACACCACACTTTTCGCGGCACACGTACTTACAGCCAATCAGCTCTGAATGATGTGAGATGACGTATGGTGGGGATGGCAGCTCTATGCCCCTATGGTCATTATTTTTTTGCCACACACATTAAATAGGAAAATATTCTGAGCATGCGCAGTGTAGTTTTTACAGTCACCATTGACTTAAACAGGGAGAGGGAGGGGCAGGATCGGGTTTTGTCCCACACGGCTCTAAACAGCTCAATAGGCACACACTGTAGACACTAATTAGAAGAACACTGACTAAAACAGCAATGAGACGAATCAGATGATTAAACATGATCTTAAAATATATTTTATATATATTTTAATTTTTAATACTTTCTGCTGACACTAGGTGGGGCTGTGCCCCACCTGCCCCTAATGACCAGTCGCCACTGGCTGGACCTGTGTTTACAGGAAAGGAGTGAGCAGAGGGTCGAGTTGTAGATTCTTGTTCAGTTTTCTGTGACTCCTCACCAGAGATGGGGTCGTTACTAAAAAAAAGTAATATATTACATATTACATATTACTTTAAAAAAAAAGTAATATATTACACTACTTCGTTACTCTCTACATAAAGTAACTCGTTACTTTACTCGTTACTTTACTCGTTACTTTACTCGCAGGGCCGGCCCGCCCCTCCCTGCAGGCAGATCACGCAGACTGCTAAAGTTTCAAATGTTCTCTTTAGTTCAGTTTCCATTGTCGCATCAGACTGATCCAGATCCTGAGTGTCCTCCTATCTGACCGTGGCTGTCCTCTGTCTCCTGATATCTGTATATGTTGCGCAGTCTATCTCTGCTCACGCTGTTGCGTCGGCGTGTTCTCCTGCGTGTTGGCCATGTGTTGCACTGGAGCCAGACACCGCAAAGACTTCAGCCGAGCACGTACGAACTGCGCATGCGTGAGTGGCAATAACTCTCCTTACCAGCAGGCGGCGGTAGTGTGTATTCGTCATTCAAAACAGGCAACAACCGGAAAACAGAGAAGAAGAACAGACTACGTGATATAAACAAACAACAAATAGCTGTGCGTTAGCTTCACCTTAGCATGTGTTCTTTGCAGGTGTTTGTTGAGGTTTGATTATGACTGATTTTAGTAACGAAGTAACGCGTGTCGGGGCAATGTTAGTAACTGTAGTGTGATTACTGAATTATAAAAGTAGCGCGTTACACTACTCTGTTACCGACAAAAGTAATATTATTACAGTAACTTTTTTTGTAACGCGTTACTCCCAACTCTGCTCCTCACCCTCTCAGACTTTGAGTTGCGCGCGCTGCTAAAGAGACGCGCTACCATGGAAACCAAACAATAGTGTAGCTGTATTAAAGTCCGAGTGAAAACAGTCGTGAGTAAATCTGATTTTGTCAGAAATGCGGGAGAAATGTGACCCGGGGAGGAAACCGGGAGAGGGCAATGAAATCGGGAGTCTCCCGCGAAAATCGGGAGGGTTGGCAAGTATGACACACACACACACAGACAGACACACAGACAGACAGACAGACAGACAGACAGACAGACAGACAGACAGACAGACAGACAGACAGACAGACAGACAGACAGACAGACAGACAGACACACACACACTGTTCGTATTTAGTCTCCTGATTTTAAATGGGAATTAAATCATTTGAGTGTTCCCAAAGCACCAGTGTTCTGCAGTTTGTGTGGGCCTACTGTACTGTTGCAGTTTTGGAAGATTCATAGCTAACCACACTGAAGATTATGGATTATCTCATGTTTTTAAGCCTCAATTCGTCCTCCCCCCCCCCCCCCCCCCTCTAACATCACCAGAAGTCATCATTTAAGGGGTAATTTCTCAACATTTTCTTCCGGGGGAGCATCCCCCCAGACCCCCCTAGTATGGTTTGGTCACCATTTCCATAGCTCCACCAAAAAGATTTTCCACCAGCCGTCACTGATTCCAACTACTTGCTCTGCTACGCCGTGTGAAAACATAACATATTTTTTGGGGGTTTTTAATTATTATGAAACTGTGAATAATGTGTTCACTCAAATAAATACAAAATATAATAAAAATAAACATTAAGGTGCAGCATTTCGATGAACTGAAATTATCTGTACTTGAACTGTACTGTACTAGTACTCCCCTAAGCAGCCAGTTTGACATTAGGACTTGCTTGTCATTGTATTTTCATGTTGTTTAAAGAAAGATGAACTTGTCCACATTGCTTGCTGACAGGGCAGATCTGCTGGCACTAACAATGTCTCTGTGGAGAACACCCTCTCTAGGGACAGAGGTAGCACAGCCAGGTAGCGCTTTGCTAACATGGCAACATAAGGATATGTGGTGTTTGTAACAGCTTTGGCTCGGTCTGAACTCTCTGCGAGTGGTGGAGGCTTACATGCTAGCGGGAGTTGGGTTTGCACTTCAGTCTTTTTTCTTTTGGTACCGGTGATATTCACGTTCAGGTGATGCCTTTTCAAGAGAGTGCAAGTTTGATGTATTGCCAGCCGCGTAACCAATGTTAGTTGATCAATGTCGACAAACAGCTTTGGTTCGGTCCACCTGTCTTTGTCCGTCATCCTTGTTCGTAACTGAGAAACCAAAATGTTCCCAAACCGGAGACTTCAATGATGCTGGAGGATTTTCAGCTCAACTTGATCTGCGTTCGCCATTTCCACAGTTCCTCAAATTACTGACTACATTTGAACGCATCCCTCTGACCAGCTCTCAGTATGCCTCTCATCCAATGAAATGACTTGCTCGCTCTATGACGCGTTGAACCCAATGTGAGCAAATTACTCTGAATGCTGCGACGCAGCACCTGAGATTACTTCCAACAAGTTGTTCACGTTCTCAAGTTTTTACGTTTAACGTTATATTCGTTCGGTACACACGAGTACCGAACCGAAGGGCCCGTACCAAATATTTCGAATACCGTTACACCCCTAATGAATTGTCATATTAATTAAACTTTGTAATGATTTAGTAAAAAAAAAAGAAGATAAATCAAGTTTTCGGTTCCCAACCCTAGTGTGTTATTGTATAATGTGTTATCCCCCCCCCCCAGGAGTGATGCCCCCCCCGCCCCCTGGTCCAGGTCCTGCGCCTCGGCCTCCTCTCCTTCAGAGAGTCAGAGGCTCTGCAGCAGCAGCTGGTCCTCAGACACCATCAGAGGGTCAGAGAGGAGAACCAGGAGAACCAGGAGAACCAGGAGAACCATCAGAGGGTCAGAGAGCAGAGCCACGCCCTGCTGCTGGTCCAGCACCCCCCCACCTTCACCACGGGGCTGCGCTGCCTCCCCTACCCTCCCCCCCTGCTGGAGGGCCTGCGTCAGACCGGGGCTGAGGTGCAGCGCTGCAGCCGGGGGGGGCTGATCACCTTCCACGGGCCGGGGCAGCTCGTCTGCTACCCCATCCTGCACCTGGGCAGCTTCAAGAAGGTGATCAATAACCTTTAATACCCCATCATGCACCTGGGCAGCTTCAAGAAGGTGATCAATAACCTTTAAATAACGTTGGGTTACGTATTGTAACCCTTGTTATATTAGCACAGGCGGAGCCCTCTACTGGACTCTATGGGTACTACCTTATCCTGCGAGCATTCTCCCACTGAGACTTCTATAGACGTAGCCGGCCTAGGGCGGACCTACCAGAATGCGCACGCATCACACCGTATAAAAGGAGGCCTCGCCTCCTGACTATCATCCTACACCTCTCTTCAGCGAGCGGAATAGGACAGACAGTGCCCTGAGTAGAGGGCTCCGCCTGTGCTTATATAACAAGGGTTACAATACGTAACCCAACGTTATATCTCTCACAGGCTCCGCCCTCTACTGGACTCTATGGGTACAGTGGGTGGAGCCGGTTGTGACCGAGGAGAAACCTGGGCTGCGGCTGACAGAGCACACCCTGCTGCGCCTACCTTGCAGAAAGTGTGCTAAAATAACAGTGCCGGGTAACCCCCCCCCGCCCATAGACGGATGGGGAGGGCCCCCTCGGTCCCGTATGGGCTTACTACGCACCTGCCTCCCTGAATCCCTAAGGATAACAGGGAGCGCGCTAGCACCCATGCCTCACACTCAGGCACTGACCCCGTGCAGAGTGTGAGAGGACTAATGGGCCGTAATGGGCCAGCGCGCCCCTTGCCCATCCCGGGACCCTCAGAGGGCCCGGGAAAGGCGAAGGCGCATCACGTCCGGGGAGGGGGTCAGATGCCAACTGACCCACAACCCCCCCCCCCCCCCCCCCTCCTACAAATCCTGTGTTGCCCCAGCAAGCAGAGACGAGGAGAAAGAGCCTGACATGTCCAAGAGATAAAACCTTATGAAGGAGGGGCCTGGCGTCGACCAAGACGCCGCTGTGCATATATCCTCCACACTCACGCCGTTGAATAAGGCTGTTGACGCAGCCACAGCCCGTGTGGAGTACACACGAATCCCCGTGGGGCAGGCTCTCCCTGCCTGTCCGTAGGCATGTGCAATGCACTCGCAGAGCCAGCCTGCCAGGCGTTTCTTGGACTGAGTCCTGCCACCCGTCCCACTTCAGAGACATGTCCTTAGTAACAGCTGGAAGAGAGGGGGGGGGGGCTACAAGGACCTGTGTGGGGTTTGGAGCAGGACACTTCAGAGACATGTCCTTAGTAACAGCTGGAAGAGAGGGGGGGGGCTACAAGGATCTGTTTGGGGTTTGGAGCAGGACACTTCAGAGACATGTCCTTAGTAACAGCTGGAAGAGAGGGGGGGGGCTACAAGGATCTGTTTGGGGTTTGGAGCAGGACACTTCAGAGACATGTCCTTAGTAACAGCTGGAAGAGAGGGGGGGGGGCTACAAGGATCTGTTTGGGGTTTGGAGCAGGACACTTCAGAGACATGTCCTTAGTAACAGCTGGAAGAGAGGGGGGGGGGGGCTACAAGGATCTGTGTGGGGTTTGGAGCAGGACACTTCAGAGACATGTCCTTAGTAACAGCTGGAAGAGAGGGGGGGGGGGGGGCTACAAGGATCTGTGTGGGGTTTGGAGCAGGACACTTCAGAGACATGTCCTTAGTAACAGCTGTGAGAGAGGGGGGGGGGGGCTACAAGGACCTGTTTGGGGTTTGGAGCAGGACACTTCAGAGACATGTCCTTAGTAACAGCTGGGAGAGAGGGGGGGGCTACAAGGACCTGTTTGGGGTTTGGAGCAGGACACTTCAGAGACATGTCCTTAGTAACAGCTGGGAGAGAGGGGGGGGGCTACAAGGACCTGTTTGGGGTTTGGAGCAGGACACTTCAGAGACATGTCCTTAGTAACAGCTGGGAGAGAGGGGGGGGGCTACAAGGATCTGTTTGGGGTTTGGAGCAGGACACTTCAGAGACATGTCCTTAGTAACAGCTGTGAGAGAGGGGGGGGGGCTACAAGGATCTGTGTGGGGTTTGGAGCAGGACACTTCAGAGACATGTCCTTAGTAACAGCTGGAAGAGAGGGGGGGGGGGCTACAAGGATCTGTGTGGGGTTTGGAGCAGGACACTTCAGAGACATGTCCTTAGTAACAGCTGTGAGAGAGGGGGGGGGGGGGGCTACAAGGACCTGTTTGGGGTTTGGAGCAGGACACTTCAGAGACATGTCCTTAGTAACAGCTGGAAGAGAGGGGGGGGCTACAAGGACCTGTTTGGGGTTTGGAGCAGGACACTTCAGAGACATGTCCTTAGTAACAGCTGGGAGAGAGGGGGGGGCTACAAGGACCTGTTTGGGGTTTGGAGCAGGACACTTCAGAGACATGTCCTTAGTAACAGCTGGAAGAGAGGGGGGGGGGCTACAAGGACCTGTTTGGGGTTTGGAGCAGGACACTTCAGAGACATGTCCTTAGTAACAGCTGGGAGAGAGGGGGGGGGGGGCTACAAGGATCTGTTTGGGGTTTGGAGCAGGACACTTCAGAGACATGTCCTTAGTAACAGCTGGGAGAGAGGGGGGGGCTACAAGGACCTGTTTGGGGTTTGGAGCAGGACACTTCAGAGACATGTCCTTAGTAACAGCTGGGATAGAGGGGGGGGGGGCTACAAGGATCTGTTTGGGGTTTGGAGCAGGACACTTCAGAGACATGTCCTTAGTAACAGCTGGGATAGAGGGGGGGGGGGGGGGGCTACAAGGATCTGTTTGGGGTTTGGAGCAGGACACTTCAGAGACATGTCCTTAGTAACAGCTGGAAGAGAGGGGGGGGGCTACAAGGACCTGTTTGGGGTTTGGAGCAGGACACTTCAGAGACATGTCCTTAGTAACAGCTGGGAGAGAGGGGGGGGGCTACAAGGACCTGTTTGGGGTTTGGAGCAGGACACTTCAGAGACATGTCCTTAGTAACAGCTGGGATAGAGGGGGGGGGGGGGGCTACAAGGATCTGTTTGGGGTTTGGAGCAGGACACTTCAGAGACATGTCCTTAGTAACAGCTGGGATAGAGGGGGGGGGGGGCTACAAGGATCTGTTTGGGGTTTGGAGCAGGACACTTCAGAGACATGTCCTTAGTAACAGCTGGGATAGAGGGGGGGGGGCTACAAGGATCTGTTTGGGGTTTGGAGCAGGACACTTCAGAGACATGTCCTTAGTAACAGCTGGGAGAGAGGGGGGGGCTACAAGGATCTGTTTGGGGTTTGGAGCAGGACACTTCAGAGACATGTCCTTAGTAACAGCTGGGATAGAGGGGGGGGGGGGCTACAAGGATCTGTTTGGGGTTTGGAGCAGGACACTTCAGAGACATGTCCTTAGTAACAGCTGGGAGAGAGGGGGGGGGGGCTACAAGGATCTGTTTGGGGTTTGGAGCAGGACACTTCAGAGACATGTCCTTAGTAACAGCTGGGAGAGAGGGGGGGGGGCTACAAGGATCTGTTTGGGGTTTGGAGCAGGACACTTCAGAGACATGTCCTTAGTAACAGCTGGGATAGAGGGGGGGGGGGGCTACAAGGATCTGTTTGGGGTTTGGAGCAGGACACTTCAGAGACATGTCCTTAGTAACAGCTGGAAGAGAGGGGGGGGGGGGCTACAAGGACCT